CCCCCCGGTGCCACTATCAGGTCCGTCAAAATGGAACCACTGTTCCATTTGTTTTTCCATACCTGGCTGGAGATGGGGGTAACTCGGCTGCCCATAGACTGACTTTAGGCATTCAATTGGGTCCGCCTGAGAAACTGAGAGGTGAACCCGATTGGACTGCCTGTGCTGAAGGGGCCTTAAAGTGACATTAAACCCTCAGATTTTTTAACATGACCCAATACTGTAATGTGTGCCTTACTGTAATCCATGGTTGTTTCCCTTCTCTTTGCTGCTCTTCCTTTTTAAATCCTTATCTCTTCTCATGCTGGGGGAGAACTTCCCTTTGCAGCTGAGTGCCTCTTCCTGTAGTGCTGGCTCAGGTTCCAAACCTATACACAGACACCATGTAGCCATTCCAGAGACAAGGCAGTCTGCTGCAAAACAGAAGTTCTGCCCAACATGAGAAGAGATACAGATTTAAAAGGAAGAGCAGCAAAGAGAAGGGAAACAACCATGGATTACAGTAAGGCGCACATTACACTATTGTTTTATGTTAACAAATCTGAGGGTTTAATGTCACTTTAAAGATGAAACAGGGAAGCGGGCACCTCGAGGGGGAACTGAACCTTCTTTTTGGGCCCATGTCTTTTGTCCATTGTTCCACTTTAAAGGAGAACTATGGGGGTCAGTGTTTTTCCCCATAGTTCTCCTAAGGGTCATGGGAGGACACAAACTAGCGTCCTCCTGTGACCCAAAGCTCAGTATATCGCCGTAGCCGGGACAGACCCTAACATTACTGTCAAGATCCACCCAGCTGCGTGATTGACAGCTGACTCTGCCTATATAGAGGCAGAGCCAGCTGTACCCGTCCGTTCCGCCAGTCAGCGCTGGAGGATCGGAGGGGGGGTGGAATCCCTGCAGGGAGCCGTGAGTGACAGGCTCTCTGCAGGGAGATGATCGGAAAGAGAGCCAGCGACGGTATGTGTTCGCTCACTTCCCGATCTATCTATTGAAAATCACTCACCTCCATAGTTCTCCTTTCAAATCTCTCAATAGAAAATAGGCTTAAATGATATCTAAACCCAAGGACATATATTGACTATATTGCAGCTTGCCATTCCTCAGATGTGGTGGCCACATTCATCTTTTCTCAAACTAAGTACATTTTCTGCATGTGTAGAAAAGTGGCGTTTGATCCTGCCAGAAATCCGGTGTCTTCTTAAGTTCCTGTGCACTGAGCTGAAATCCTCAGTCTCGTCTCTTACCAGTTGCCTTGTGTCAACTACAAAACACATCCCAACTATTTAATGGGGAGTAGTAGATGAGGAGGTGTTTGTAGTCTGATTCAAGCTGCCTAAGGCAGACCTGATCCTTTTACGGCCCAGGTGCCATATCCTGCCCTTGGTCTGTCTCTATCTGGCCCGCATTCTGGACAAGGACCAATCGTAGACTCGGGTATGAGGGGCCCTTTTCATCAGAGATTATTGTTTAATATCCTCATCATAGGGCTCTTCCCTGTTATAATAAACTCTGTATGTATTGTATGTGTTGGCACTTCTGTCTTGCAGCCCTGGGGGTGCCCAGTTTGTAGGATACTATCTGCATGGAGTTTGCATGTTCTCCCTGTGCTTGCATGGGTTTCCTCTGAGTACTCTGGTTTCTTCCCAAACTCCAAAGACACGCTGCAAGGCAGGGGTAACTTATTCTATCACTGCGATCCCTAATGCTATGCAGGACTCTACAAGTGAATGGATGTTTTTACCTATGAGCTATAGCAGGGGTAGGCAACCTCGGCCGTCCAGCTGGGGTGCAACTACAAATCCCATTAGGCATTGCAAGAGTCTGACAGGCATGAAAACCCAGAGGCAGCTGCATGATGGGATTTGTAGTATCACCACAGCTAGGAAGGACAGATATTGCCTACCCCTGCTCTAAGGTTAATTGGCTTCTGTCTAAATCAGCCCTGGCATGTGCGTGTGTCTACGCATGCTTGTGAGAAGGGGGCCTTAGATTGTAAGCTCCCTGAGGGCAGCGACTGATGTGAAATAGTATGTAGAGCGCTGTGTAAAGTGACAGCAGTGTATACATGTCTGTAATAAATAAATATGGATTTGGAATCTGCACCTCTCTGTATTTTCGGTGTCCATGTTAGAAAGCAGTGAATGGCGCATAGGCGACGTTGTACATTTCGGTATATGGGATAAGTGGAGGAACTGTCATCCCTACTTCCTGTCTGTAGGAACGTCACTCCTCCTTCCCCATTGTTACCCGTTGTCACAAAACACATTTCTTCCTTACAGCCGGCGGCGTCCCGAGCGGCGTGCCAACAGGTTTTACTACGACTGATGTTGCAACGGTGTTTCTGATTCACTGATTCACTGAATGCAGTATCTTTCTATCATTGCCAAATGCAGGCACTCCCCTGGTTAACACCTAAAATAAGCCAGCTGAACGTGTCATTTTATTACAGAAAAGGCGCTTTTAAAAGTGTTTGTAAAACCTAATGGTGAACTTCTTCTTCTTCTCTTTTTTTTTTCCTCTTGGCCTTGCAAAATATATCTGGGTTAGGCAAACTCCAGTGAGTGCAACTACAAATCCCATTAGGCCTTGCAAGACTGACAGCCACAGGCATGACTCCCAAAGGCAGAGGCATGATGGGATTGATAATTTTACCACATTTAGAGGGCGGAGTCAGGGCCCTATAATGAGGCGCTTGCCTCAGACGTCATCTTATTGGGTCACATGGGGGGGCGGCAGATGTGCCTGCCACCCCCTTACAGCCAGAGCGTCCCAGGTTGCTAAGGGCTAATGGCAACCTGTGACGCTCTGGCTGCCGTCCTGCCCAGGTTCTGGCAACCAGTGGGGCCAGTCAGAGCTAGAGGTACCGTGCACTAAGCGTCCTAGTAAACATGCACTGATGCCAGACGAGCCCCCCCGGCCACAGGCAGAGAAAAGTGTAGGGAGACCCCTGATACCTTTTGTTCGGTATGTGCAAAGAATACCCGCTGAGCAGCCAGAAATCTTGTAAGCTGATAACTTTCTTTGCTGCACTCTTATGAGTTACATTGTTCCCAATTCTCTGGGGACTACAAAACACTTTCCCCTATGGTATAGAGAAGGGGAGAGGCGGAAGTGTTCTGCAGTCCTGTCCTAGGGTGATAACCCTACTCCTACGGTGAGCATGCTGGATCAGGTGAGCAGGATCACCAGGTACAAATCAATAAAAAAAAGAATGCAGCCACCACTTCCAAGGCCTGGTAGATTGCTATATACACAACAAAGTCTCCATTATCCGGCATTCAAGCAACCAGAACTCTCAAGCAACCAGGAAAAACAAAATCTAGGACATATGTCCTTTTTTCTTTTTGCTTGATACACGTGTGTACACGGAAAAAAAGTTTGTTAAGAACGAAATTTATTTTGTGTGTGCAATAGCCAGCCTGCTATTGGCTATGGCAATTTGAAATAGCCAATAGCAGAATCCAGCCAGCGGATGAATGGGAGCGAAGGGAAGGGGGTTGTTGCTTGAGAGTTAATAGTCACTCTCCAGCAACCAGAAACTACAGTTATCGGGCATCTATCAATTCCCATGGGTACCCTGATAAGTGGGAGTTTACTGTATACTGTGTGTGTGCTTTATATAATAACATTTGTTCCAATTTTGATACTTTTTAATGTGCACAGAAAAGGATTCATGTTCTTTTGGGCAAAGCAAAGGTTTGCAGGTCTTCGGAAGGTTGCAGAGATGTAATGTGATGACATTTTCTGCAGGAAGTATTCTGTAAATGGTGTCCATCAATAAGGAAGTGCTCTGGTTTTTCAGCTGTGTGTTTTAACCTCTGCTATGATTCTGCTTATAGTCTACTGAAGACAGATTTGTATATTTCTTTCCTGTCAAATCCCTGGCTAGAATCGAGGTTAATAGCACAGTATAGGAACTGTGTAGCTGAATGCTGATCCGGGGCAGTGGGTGCTACAGCTTTCTAAATGAAAGGGAACCTGTCAAAAGTGAAACATGCTGACTTCCTTTTGAAAATGCAAGTTGGCTATCATGCTGGTTCTCTGGCTTTGAACTCCAGACACATGTATGGCGGGTGTTACCTGATGAAAGATTATTTATTACATAGATGTGCACAGCTCTGTCACACAGCACAGCCCAGTGTAGCAAGCAAAGGGACCTCAACTTTTTCTGCTGCAATTTCTCTCTCACTTGGAAGTCTCCCTATCCCCCAGCTTGTGACTGGACAGTGAAAGGAGAAGCAGTACAGGGGTGAGCTCATCTCTCTCACTTTGCTCTCTTCCTCTCAGCATGCTCCTTGCATTGTAACAACCAGTTGGCTCATTTTGCTTCTTCTCTCTCTCTCTGAGCTCTGCTGTACAGGGAATGCAAGAGTGTGGCACCTGGTTAAATTCAGGTTCTTGCACTACAAGAATACATTTTATGATAGATTATTGATCATGGGGCTGCAGTAATTTGTGTCTTTTATATATCTGCTTGGAGTGCAGTTAATGTGAAATTAGAAGTCATTTACAATTGCACCATAGCTGTAAAGTCATTTCTGTGCCCTGTAATGATGTGTAGAGCAATGGCAGGAGCCAGTGAGAGCTGCGGGGGGACCAGGCCATTGACCCTTCGGGACCTGGAGCAGAGGTTTTCTGAGGATCGGAGTTCTGTTCAGAGGTACGAGCAGAAGTCGAGGTAAGTATATGCGCGTTTCTTTCCCGGTACATCACTTGTAAACACTGAGGGGCATTTATGAGAACTGGAGCAGGTGAAATCTAGCAGCTGTGCATGGCAACCAATCAGCCCCTCTCTTTAATGTTTAAATCTTAAATGAACAAACTGAAGAGATGCTGATTGGTTGCCATGGGCAAATGCTCTAGATTCTGCCTGCACCAGTTTTGACAAGCTCCCCCGACTCTGTTTTGCAGATGAGAATTCACTAATAGTTGCTGTCCTTCTTCATTGACGTATGTTTGCTCTTGCTATGGTTGCTGACCAATTTTTTTTACTTTTTTAGGAACCTCCAAAAGCTGGAAAAAGTGGCAAAAGTGGAAAAGAAGGACAAGATAATCCTGAACATGAAGTGAGTTGTGATGCAAGTATCATTTTTACCACTGATAAAAGAGGACATTGACTTCTTAATTTACGCCTGCAATCATCGTGTCATTGGCGTAGTTTGGTTTGATGCCATTGAAAGCCGAACTGCAGGAGAATGAGCTAAAAACAAATTGTGTGTGTGTGTGTGTGTGTGCGCGCGTGCAGACATACATGAACTTTAATAGCGTCCCAGTCTTAGTCCGTAGGGTTCAATATTGAGTTGGCTCCGCCCTTTGCAGCTATAACAGCTTCAACTCTTCTGGGAACTCTGTCCACAAGGTTTAGGAGTGTGTCTATGGGAATGTTGGACCATTCTTCCAGAAACGCATTTGTGAGGTCAGCTATGCTCCGCTAGTCTTGAGTTTCACAGCACATCATTTAGCCAAACGGGTGACACCACTACTTCCTGTTTGTTTTTTCAACCGTGTGTCATCTCTGTTTGTAGCCATGCAAGATGACACATTTCCTTTATAACGGCACGGGTTGTGGCTGAGTAAGGGCTTGCTTTGACAAGTGTATATTTTACAACAATCTGACACCCTCCTGAGATGATTCAGAGGTTGACGGGTACATTTCACCTGCGGTTAACCAATCGAACTGCCACAAGCTGCTCCTGTCTTCCATTAGACTTTGTATGGGGAGAGACAAGAACGTCTTTTAAAATGATTTTGCAAGTACAGAGAAAGTCCTGTAATTCTGCCAGAAATCCAGTGAGCTCCTAACCTCCTCTGCACCGCACTGGAATTGCAGGCAGTGGCGTTATCAGCAGCCCTGCCCAGCTCTCCCCTGGACTACAGAATCCCAGGTGCCAGGTCAGCGATGCTCCTTAAAATTTATATTTGGCGCCTAATTTATTAGGTTGTTGTTTATGGAGCTGGTTCCTGGATTGGACAGGCTGGCTTCTGAATTCAATATTAATCTGTCCAGCCCTGTGTTATGGAGATAAGGGGGGTGTTCTGTAGCCCAAATTAGGAGTGAGCAGGTCCTTCATAGATGAGCTAAGAGTAGGAGATATAAGATACCTAAAGGTGCCCATACACTGGGAAATCCCGCGATCGTACGAGAATCGTGAAGTGTATGGAAGGCGTGCGACCGTCTCTACTGTACGGTCGCACGTCTTCCGTCGAACTAGCAGGCTAGAAAACCCGCCGTGAATCGTACGATTCTCGGCGAGTTAGTGGCCTGCTGGTTCGACAACTGCCGAACGGGCCGGTGTGCGCACGCGCACACAGCCCTTTTGCAGTCATCGTAAGCCCGCCCCCCATTGCAGTCATCGTAAGCCCGCCCCTCATTGCAGTCATCGTAAGCCCGCCCCTCGGGGGCGGCTTGCGATGATCGCAAGTACGATCTGCCTGTCCAAGATGGGCAGATCGTACGTTTTTTTAAGTACTTTACAACCATCGCAAGACAGAAGTCTTGCAAGGGTTGTAAAGTGTATGGGCACCTTAAGAGAGAGAGTAATACAATCTGACCTGTTAGTCTGAATCCATCCATCGAACAGCTCGGTGTCTGAGCGAGAGCTCCGGCTGTACTGTGTTTGAGAGGGATGCAAGAGCAGAATGTTATCTGAAAGAGGAATGCTGGGGTAGCATGTCCCCCGTGAGAGCATACACGTCAGTCACGGGAGAGAGAGGGCGAAGCCAGAGTGATATATACTCAGTAACTGCGTCTGGGACATGCACAATTCCGCATGGGAGACGTGAGTTTTGCTGAGCAGGGAATGGCAGGATTTTTCCGCTTGCTCTTTGGTGATCTGATACTTCGCCGCACCGTCTCTCGTTCTTTTTTCTGAGTTAATGGATTGGAATAAAATAACATGTTGTTGCAGAAATTGCCGCCTTGCTGCGAGCTGGTGACAGGTATTCAATAGATGATTGCGTTGCAAAGTGCTACAACTGAAATGCAATTCACTGAGATTAGATCGGCGTTTAGATGATTTCTCAGTGGCTGTTATGGGTAACCGCGCTTTGTTTTTTGCATTGTTTTGAGTATGAACGAGTTGTTCGTTCTACATCATTCAGGAACACGTACCTAAAGTCCAAACAGCAGGAATTTTTTATATATATTTTTTATATATTACCCACTTACTCAGCATCCCCTAGCCTACTTCCTATGAGCCCAGGCTGTCATGCATACACTTCCATGGGGTATGGCATCATGCTGAGCAGGGCTTCCAGGACTGCTACAGAGAATAGTGCCAGTCTGTGCAGGAGTAAGGACTGCTGCCCGACAAAAACAACTCATGATGTCGGGTGACTGGCCAGAAGAAACTTGGATTTAAAGCGGAACTCTAGGCAAAAATACACACATGAACAACTAAATCACATATCGAAAATAATATAAAGACAGCTTTTGCTGCAATGCTGCAGCTTCCCCCCCACACAGTACTACATTGCCACCACTAGGTGTCCTCAGTCTTCTGGTGGAAATGACAGTCAGCACCATTCAACCCACTTTCTCTGAGACCAGCATGTCATGGACCTGTCCCCAACCTGAGACTCGACAGTGGATCAGCTTCACAGTAATGGTCTCATCTCAGGCACACTGCTGTCTATGCTATCAGCATGCCCCTTGTCCGCACGTGAATTGGCTCCTTTTCTCTCTCTCTCTCTCTCTCGCGCTCTCTGCTGTCTCTCTCTGCTGTCTCTCTCTCGCGCTCTCTCTGCTGTCTCTCTCTCGCGCTCTCTCTGCTGTCTCTCTCTCGCGCTCTCTCTGCTGTCTCTCTCTCGCGCTCTCTGCTGTCTCTCTCTCGCGCTCTCTGCTGTCTCTCTCTCGCGCTCTCTGCTGTCTCTCTCTCTCCAAAAAGGCAGGTGAAGTCAAATTCAGGCACTTGTACTTCTTAAAAGTGAGAGAATAAAAAGCTTTCAGTAAAAAAAATAAGTTTGCAGCATTTTATTCATCCGCCTTCCATAATATAAAAAAGCTGACCTTTTTTAATTTTGTTAAAATTGTTTGTCCTTTTACTTCTACCTGCCCTGCCCCTCAATTCTTGCCCATGCAAGAAAGACGTATCCGCAGCCTCCTGGGATACCCAGGGGGTCCCATATCCCAGGGGACCTCAGCTTCCATCCAGCAAGGAGGTTGGATCTGGCGCCACGTCATCAGTGGGCCGGCAGCAAGAACCAGGAAGAGGCTGCCGCTTCCCAATGACTTAAGAGAGAAAGATGTCGGCGTGGCCTGGGTGTGCAGCAGATTACAACAGAACAACTCTGGATTTGCTGGTCATGCTAGTTTGTTCAGCATTACACATCAAAAAAACATAACTGAGGAGATGGAAGTTCCTCTTTAATGATGTCATAAATACAGAGCTGAATTAGTGCCTATGGTATATGTCTGGAGTTCAGCTTTTAAGGAATGTAAAAAGTATTTTCATATAAAAAGAACTCCAGGTTAGAGTGTTCTAACCTGGAGTTGGGCTCTAAAAATAGCATACTAGCTCCTGAAGGTTGGACAGAACTCGCCGGATAGGTATCCAGCGTAACTTATTTACTAGTGTACATATTTCTGCTTCTTGGGCGCTTACAAGTTCCTTCCTGGCTACTAGATCAGTCCGTCCTCCAGAATTCTCCTGCACTTTGCTCGCTCTTGGTTTTCCATATACTTCCTCTAACGCATTACGTCTGCTTTTGTTTTTACGCTGCAGGTGTCCAACAAGAAGGCAAACAGCACTCCCCCACCAGCTCAGGTATCGAAAATTAAGGTACCAACGCCACAGACGGTGATAAAGAAAGAGAAGCGACAGAGTTCCTCCAGATTCAACGTGAGCAATAACCGGGAACTGCAGAAGCTGCCGGCTCTCAAAGGTAGATTTCCATCTCTTCTTTAATTATTCATTTGTTTTATAAAAGGGCATCTCCACGCCGATGGCTGAAATATGTTGGCGTGAGTGTATATGTAGACACTGTTTATCCTGACGGAAACATTTGTAGACGTGATGTGCATGTTCCTGTGATATGTGTTGGACTGAAATGCCCCAAGGAGGTGTCAAGCTTTTCCAAAGCCCGCAGTGCTGCAGATTCCATGGTACTGCCCTGCCTCCTGCCCTGCTTTGGATTGGTAGTAAACGTCAAGTGACACTAAACTCAGGAACTAAGGGTACGTTCACACCAGATGCAGTGCGTTCCGGTCCGATTCTGGCCGGAATGCACTGCATTGCGGCCGGCTCACTTTTTGTGGGGCAGGAGTGGTCTGGTGCGGTGCGATCACAATGCTGCAACTATTTAGATCGCACCGGACCGCAGGCAAGGCACAATGTGCCTTGCGATCCCGTGCGACCGATCGTATTGCGGCTGGAGGGCGTGGCTACAGTACCATTCACTTCAGTGGCCCTCCTGCCCCACAAAAAAGTGAGCTGGCCGCAATGCGATGCAGTGCGTTCCGGCCAGAATCTGACCAGAACACAATGCATATAGTGTGAAGTACCCTAAATCTGCATGGCAACCAATCAGCTTCTCTCTTTCATTGTCAAATCTTTACTGAAGAAAGAAGCTGATTGGTTGCCATGCAACAGCTGATCCAGATTTTGTCTGCTCTAGTATTGATAAATTCCCCTCAATGTATCTTATTTGTCTATCACTCGACTGTAGATAGTTCCAGAAGGAAGGACGGTGTCGGCACCAATTCAGAGATGATTGGAGGATCTGCAGCCGAGTGATACACAAATAAGATACAATTTTTGCTACCAGTTAAGGGAATTGATTGTGTTTTTCAGATTTACTTCCTGAGTTTAAAAGCTGAACTCCAAGCAGATATAGAGCAAACCTTAATAGAGCTATGTAATCATTAATACATCATTAAATGTACTTTTTAAATGCACTCTCTCCGTGTGCTGGGTGGTTGGTCTTGTCCTCGCCCCCTTCTGTATTTTTCTGCAGCAGTGGGTGCAGCCTGCTGGGCCCCTCACACAGCTCTGTTCTATGTGCAGCACTGCGGTGTTGTCATTGTAACTTTTGCAAGATAATATTTGGGTGTGCAAAGGCTTTTAGTGCACAAAAAAATGGATTTATGCTTTGTGTCTATTGAGGAACATATTTACGTAAAAAAAAAAAAGTTAGTGCCTGAAGTTCAGCTTTAAGCCAAGAGACATTCTTTATCCAGAAAGCAATTGTGAGAGGACTGATATGGTTTCCTGGATTAGCTCCGCTTGTCATACCAAAAATAACACACAGGGCATGACATTCATCGACCAAGACCAATCTGTAAAAAACAATAATGAATTAGACTTAAAGCCTGCAATGCAACGAGCAGAAATGAGCTTAACGCTGCAAAATTTGAAGACAAACTTATTGTAAAAATAGGATTCTAAACATCTGCTTTTATTTGTTACAAAGTTGGCCGACGTTATTCCTTTGCACAATAGCTGGTTTAAAAAAAAAAGCATGGTAAAGGAATGTGCGGGCTGCAGTCACTGCCCACTCATTAGTGACTCATTCAAACTCCCAAAATGCACTGTACCCGTAGAATATTGAGCCACGTGCAGGGGGTGGTAAGGAGGGTGTTATTGTATTATTACTCTTAGGAGAGGTATTTTGCGGTCCATAAGACGCACCGGACCATAGGACGCAGGGAGGTCCGGCGCGCCTTATGGAGCACTCGACAGACTGTAGCTTCTGACACAGCTTCTATGACAGAAGCTGTGACAGAAGCTGCAGTTAGTGACCGCTGAGACAGGTGGTGCTGTGATTACAGCGCCACGGTCTCAGTGATCACACAGAGCAGACGAAGAAAGTCCGTTCTTTGTCTGCTCTATGGTGATCTCCATCGTCGCCGCTGCTCGGTTTTAATACGAGTGATCTCATTAGATCACTCGTATTAAACGAGCAGTGGCTCCTACTGCTGAATACGATCGCCGCCACCGCCGCTGCTCGGCTTTAATACGAGTGATCTCATTAGATCACTCGTATTAAACGAACAGTGGCTCCTACTACTCGCCCGGCGCCCGAAACTGCATGTCTCGGGCGTCGGGATTCGCTCCATAAGACGCAGGCACATTTTCCCCCTCCTTTTGGGGGGAAAAAAGTGAGTCTTATGGAGCGAAAAATACGGTAATGCTCTTAGGACACAACGAGTCCTTTATGACTGGAGCCCTTTACTTTGTTCATCCGACTTCCTGCTTTTTACACGATGGTGTTCTGCAGATTTGGAACTACAGCTATGTGTCGAGGCGACTTACTTTAGAATGATCCTGTAGCAATGTTGAAAGGTTTGAGCCTGATAGTACATCTGAAGTCATACAATAGAAATCACACTATGACATTCAAACACTTTCTAATTGTTAAAAAATAATGCCAAAAAAAAAAGGCTGTTGTTGTCTTTATTTTTAAAGGAGAACTATAGGGTTAAGTCTTTTCCCCATAGTTCTCCTTTAGGGTAACGGGAGGACACAAACTAGCGTCCTCCCATCACCCTAAGCTCAGTATACCGTGATCTGTAGCTCGCAGTATACTGAGACTCCGCAGCTGAAGCGGATCCCGACAATTGTGCCGGGATCCGCCCAGCTGCTTGAGTGACAGTTGGCTCTGCCTATCTAGAGGCAGAGCCAGCTGTACCCTCCCCCGTCCGTTCCGCCAGTCAGCGCTGACGGATCGGAGGGGGGAATCTAGCCCCTCCCCTGTCCCGGCAGAGAGCCGTGACAGGATCAAGAGGTGAGCGAACGCCGGTATGTGTTCGCTCACCTCCCGATCTACTGAGCCGACCTGTGACAGTCTCATTGTCACAGGTCGGCTAGAACTATGAGGTGAGTGAAAAGCACTCACCTCATAGTTCTCCTTTTTAAGCTTCATTCAGGAGTCTCATGACCGCACTCTTACCTTGCAATCCAAGTGCAGGGGCGTAGATGTATTGACTGAGGGCAGGGGTGGTGGTGCCTGCACTGATTGACTCCTTTAGCTCCATGCTGCGGTGGCAAAGACTGCTCTTATGAATGTACAGCTGCTCCTGCTGGGAACCCCTGTCAATCAGGCAGAGCAAGGCTAGACAGGGGTGTGCAGGCCTCTGACATCAATTATGTATTATGGTTATATCTCCTTTGCACACCATACTATTGTAGCCTTCTTAGTTGGGTGCTGGAACAAAGTAGTGGATGGCGCCACAGCATACAGATAAAAGATATGTCATCCACACACCAATTTGCTTCAGAATCTTGTCTTTATTGACAGGTTTGCCGCATAAGACTACAAAGTTTCGGAAACCACGTGGGAATCTTTTGTCGGGCACACACTATGCTTGACACTTTGCCTGATGAAGGAACCCCACGTGGTTCCGAAACGTTGTAACCTTATTCTGCAAATTCATCAAAGACGAGATTTTACAGCAAATCCGAGTGCGGTCGACATATCTTTTATTAGCCTGTGACATCGAGACTGCAGGACTACAGGCGCAAGCACAAGGAGAACATCCAAATGCCATGCAGGTACTGTCCTGGTTGGGATTGGAACCGAGGGGCCTAGTGCTGCAAGGCAGGAGTGCTAACCACTATGCCCTTTAACATAGCAATAGGGTCACTTTAAAAGGATAACTATACCTATAGCCATGCAACTATTGCGGAAGGCTCCTATCCAGACTACACCTCTTCCACACAAGGTCCATTCATTTCTACAGAGAGGTCATCCCCATTACAGATGCATAATGGATGATGACAAAAGAGATATCCTGAATGTGACAGTCCCCCCCCCCAGTAGTGTGAAGAAACTGAAAATGTGTAAAAGCAGGTGATTTAACTGAGTAAATTGAATGATGTCAAGAAGAATTCCAAACAAATGTAATAAGGACAATCTTACTTAAAAATGTAAAGTCCAAGAATCATGGGGTTTTCGTTAGTTCCGCTAGTGTAAATGGCTAAACTCAGTGTACATGTTGGAAGAAATCAGGCTTGCATTGCGTCTGTCTGCTCTGTAAGCCAATTGGCAGAAAGGTCAACCACCGTTAACGCTCACCCTGCAAGTCCACTGAAAGGGACATTAAACTCAGGAGTTACATATTACAAATGCATTCAAGTACCTTAACTACTAAAGGAGAACTATGGGGTTCTATCTTTTTCTTTATTATTGCATTCCTTTGGCTAAATAATAGGGGATGTCACGATACCACTTTTTCAAGACCAAGTACTGTCCCTCATGTACTTGCCGATACCAATGATTTTAGGGCAGTTTCTCACCAGTGCTGCGTGCATTGGAGGTGACAGGTTCTCTTTTATGGTGACATTAGGGGTCTTTTAGACCTCTAGTGTCACCTTTCTACTTCACTGGATTCACTGAATGTACATACAGCAGGCAGTGGCTGGGAGCAATAGCCAGCCTGCTATTGGATATTTTATATTGCAATAGCCAATAGCAGGCTGGCTATTGTACCCGCCCACTGCCTGCTGTCAATCAGCAAAGGAGGGAAACTGAAGATAAAGTTCTCAATCAGGTCCCCTCTGCTGATTGACAGCAGGCAATGGGGGGGGAGGGGGGGGTACAATAGCCAGCCTGGTATTGGCTATTGCAATTTAAAATATCCAATAGCAGGCTGTCTATTGTTACAAGTGTCAATTCCTTTTCCACTTGATGAAACTGTTTGCTTTTGGTGGTGTATCTCAGTGTAAGATGTCCATGCTCCTTATGTGTTTAATAATAATGCTCTCACCAGAGGTACACAGAAGTTTTCCCTCTCAATGAAAGAAGAGAATGCTCGTTCTGTGTGAAGGAAAGATTTACAGCTTCTCTCCCCCATGAGCACACTGAACGGACATTCTCTTCTTACAATGAGAGTGAAAACTGCTGTGCAGCAAGGAGCACGGGCATCTCACACTGACATATATCAC